GGGCTCACATTTTGTTTTACTAAATCCTGTCCCAAATTCCAGCAGAGTTGGCTGGGGTTCCGCTTCCCTCCCACATCCCCTCTCTGCCCCAGCAAATCCTCTTGGTGCCCTCTGCTTGGGAAGAGGATGGTCTCCCAAACCCTTCTGCACTCTGGCCAGGGCGGAAGAGCACTGGGAGCCATGGGAAGGAAGTGATTTTCAGGGCGGGAATGGAGCAAAGGAAACTTTCTGGGTGGAGGAGCCCCAAGAGCAGCATCCCGAGCGGGTTTCCTTCCGGCCTCACGCCCTCAAACCACAGCCCACACCAGCCTGCTCCGACTTCATCCCCTCCCTGGCAGGATGCATGGCTCTATGGGATCTTGGTGCAGGTATAGGCAGAGCAGAGCACCCAAGGGACAGACAGGCTCGGTCCCTGCAAGGACAGCAGTGCCACCAGGGCAGAGGTGCTCCCAGCACAGGGAACCAAAACTGAGGTGGTAGCTCACCAGCAGGATCACACTCCTGGCAAGGGACATGAGGGAAGCAGGTCCCCATGGTGCGCACCAGCCACGGTTCTGAGCCCCACCACCCTTACCGACAGCTGGGGCATCGTACTCATCCCCAAGCAGGATCTCGGGCGCTGAGTAAGCCAGCGAGCCACAGCTCGTGGTGAGCATCTTGCCGGGCTGGAAGCAGTTGCTGAAGCCGAAGTCAGTGAGCTTGACCACACCTTGCTCCTGGAAGAAGACCACGTTCTCGGGCTTGAGGTCGCGGTGCACCACGTGGAGCTTGTGGCAGTAGGAGATGGCGTGGACAATCTGGGCGAAGTAGTGCTTGGCTCGCGCCTCGGCCAGCCCACCCTCGTGCCGCATGATGTGATCGAACATGTCCCCACCGTCACCCAGCTCCAGGATGAGGTACAGCTTGGCATGCGTGTCGATGACCTCGTAGAGGCGCACCACGTTGGGGTGCTGCACCAGCTTCATGCAGCGCACCTCCTGCAGGAGCTGCCCCGCAGCGCCCCCCACCAGCTTGCTCTTGTCGATCACCTTGACGGCCACACGCTGCCCGGTGAAGACGTGCCGTGCCAGCTTCACCACCGCGAAATGGCCCGTGCCAAGCGTGCGCCCCAGGTCATACAGCCCCGCGATCTGCCCCTCGCCGCAGCCCTGCACCCCGGCCATGGCAGCACACAGGGACAGCAGCGGGCACTGTACCATGGGGGAATTGCTGAGCCATGTAGGATGAGGGATGGGGCATCCCTGAACACCCCCAGCACCAGGTCAGGATCCCCTGGACATCAGAGCCCCAGAACCACGGGCATCCGTAACACCCCAGCATCCTGGGACTTGGCCATCCATCTGCACCCCCACCTCCAGCACCCTGGGCATCCCACTACTCCCACCTATACTCCTCAGCACCCTGGGTACCCCAATACCCCATGTCCAGATTCGCAGCACCCTGGACACCTCCACACCCCCACCTCCCTTCCCCAGCACCACAGGGCATTCGGGTACCCCCACCTCCAGGTCCCCAGAACCCTGGGCACCACCCCAATACCCCACCTCCGAGTCACCAGCACCTTGGACACCCCAATACCCCACTTCCGATCCACCCCCATCATTTTGGGCATAACCGACCTCCAGGTCCCCATGATCCCAGCACTCCGGGCAACCCAATACCCTCACCTCCACTCCCCAGCATCTCGAGCACCCCCATACTCTCACCTCCAGGTCTCCAGCACCTTCATCACCCCCGTTCTCCCGCCTCCAGACCCCAGGACGCTGGGCACCCCAATACCCTACCTCCAGATCTCCAGCGCTCTGGGCACCCCGATACCTTCACCCAGCACCCTGTGCACTCCGGTGCCCCACCTTCAGCCCCCACCACCCCATGGCCCCGGGCACCCCAACACCCACCCCATGCCCTCCCCGTGTCCCGCAGCGCCCGGTTCCCCCGAGCTCACCGGGGCTGCGGAGCTGGGGCTACCAGAGCTACCGGGGCTGCGGCTGCCCGGGCGCACCGCCCGCTGACGTCAGGGCGGCTCCGGGCTCGCGGCTTAAAGGGCCCCATCCGCCGGGGCTGAGGCCGGGGTAACGCTCATCGCACCTCCCAGAAGGAAGCGGGCAGTGCTGCCCCTGGCAGTGTGGGGGGGGACGGGACCTGAGCCCGACTACTCAGTGTCCGTTAGGGGCTGGCATTAGCGTTAACGAGGGCTGGTAACGAGCTAAATGAGCCACCCGGCCGCTTCCAGGAAGAGAGGCAGAGCCCCCGCTCGGGGCTGTGTCCCGAGGGTCCTGATGTGCATGAGCTCCCTCCCTGCTGCTCTCCTGCCTGCTCATGGGCATTGCTGCCATTTCACCGGTCTCCAACATCGCCCACTCCCACCCTCGCTCGGGGCCCGGGGGCACAGACGTGAGCCCTGTTTCTTGGAAGCGGCCCATCCGCCTCATTTAGCTCGTTAATGGCCGCGGAGATGCTCACAAAGCAGATGTTGCTCCTGCAGATTAAGAAGCTCTTAGCGAGCCGCCCCCGCTATGGCTAATGCTTTCCCAGAAGTCCCGCTCGTGCCTGCGATCCCGCAGGATGCAAACAGGCATTAATGAGCTGGGCTGCGGGGCTAGCGTCAGCAGGGTGCAACTCAGACCAGGACCGAACACCCAGGGCTGGGGATGGAGGAGCTAGGGGCAGGGAACAAGCTGCCAGCAGCTCCCAGCATAGGAATTGGGGTGGATGAGGTGCTCAGCACCCATCGGGACTTTAGGAATGGGATTGGGAAGAGGGGGAGCTGCCAAACCTGCCTCTAAGCCAAGATGAGTCTTCATCTAAAGCATGCAGGCTGCAGCCAGGAGCACGGGGTCATGCTCCACTGGAGATGTGCTGGGATGTCCTTGATCATGCAGGGCCTGGGAGCAGGGCCTGGGAGCAGATCCTGGGCCATCAGCCTCCCTTGTCACAGCCCTCTCAAACCCCTCTTATGTCTTATCCCTGCCATGACCCTGCAGGGTCCTCAGCATCTGGGGTTCAAAGGGAAAAGTGATTCCTTCCTGGCTTCTGGCACTGGGATTTCCAGCAGACTGCTCTCAGAGTTGCTGCTGTCAGTGCACGAGGAGACTGTGGAGGCTCTCACCACCTCCACTCCTGGTTGCCCTCCACTAGCGAAGGGCCTGTGGGTGTTGGGGCCAAGTCCTTCTCCTGACAGGGTGCTGGGTGCTGCACCCGCGCTGCAGGTCTACATCCTTCTGCACAGTTGCCTGTTGTACATGTGCCAACACAGGTCTGCAGCCTTCAGTTGAAAAGGGAGAACAGACATGAGGTGCACTGGGATGCATGTCCCCCAACAGCGCTGGCCAGTGAGAGGCTGCAGAGATGCCAGCTCCACCAGTGCCTGTTCGTGACTGAGGCTGCAGCTTGCTTTGGGGTTTGGAGTGGCCCTTGAAGGTCTCTGCACTGGGAAGCTCAAGAGGCCACATACGGTGGCTGTAAAAGACAGTGTTAGGGCTGGGGAGACCTGAGTGGCTGGTTCCTTCATTTCTTCCCATGAAGTCAAGCTCAGGATGCCTAGTGGGGCTCCTCTGAGAGCACCTGGCTGTGGGGAGCTGCGGCTTTTCCAAAGAATGCCTGAATGACAGATGCAGTTAGCACAGGTGGGAACTTGAGGAATTTGCAGTGGTCAGGAGCTGGAGGACTTATGGAGGCCCTGGACCATGGCAGGTGCCTATCAGGAGCTGTGGGCGCCATTCCCTTTGAAAACCAGAAGAGAGGAGCATGTAGGCATGTAAAGTGTGTAACCAGGAACCAGATGTCCTCAGGCTGCAGCCTCAGTGCTAGCATGGCTGGAAAGGGAATTTGGTTCAAAGGATAGTGGGGATCATGCCCAGAAACCTGACATTCTGGGGACAATGGGGATCTGTTCCTCCCTGCAGCCATGCGGGGTGCAGGGACAGAGTCCTCTCTCCTTCCCTCCCCCCCCCGCACATCGCCCCATGGCTGCCACAGTGTCCGTACAAAGCCGGGTTTCAGAGAAGCCCACCTACCTGGTGGTTAGCAGAGTCATGTGGCTGCAGCACTTAATTAATTAAGAAGCTGATATAAACTCCAGTAAGCATATGGGGAGGATGACATCGAGGCAGAGAGCGGCAGCAGCACCCCCAGCAAGCTTGGAGAAGCAGCGAGCAGCAAGCCTCTTTGCTTGGAGAGGTCAGTGCTTACCATGGGAAGGGGCTGGGATGGGCTGGGGGCATGTGGGATGCAATACCCACAGCTGTGGGTCTCTGCTGGCAAAGGGCTGGGTGGTTTTGTCGGGATGGGGAGGCAAGGAGTGGCTGGTACAGCTCTGGGCTGCTGGAGCCAAAGCTGGAGCCCCAGTGCTGCCAAAACAAGAGGTGCTGGGTTCCATGGTAGTCCCCATCCAGGCCCATGGGCAGGGAAGGGGAAGCAAACCCTGGGGTGGTCCAAAGGAGGGTACATCTGGAGATGGTGTCCATGTCCCAGGCAGAGAGAGTTTTGTATCCAAACACTTGAATGAGTGTCAGATGTTTTGGCCACATCCCATACACATGCAGGCAGTAAAAGCACAGCACTGCAATGGCTTGTGGCTGCTGTAGGATGATGAAGGCTCCTCAGCATTCTGGGCCAGGGAGACCCTGCACTGCTGTAAAAGAACTGTGGAATCATAGGGTTTGGGTTGAAAGGGAGTTTAAAGCTCACCCAGTTCTAAACCCCTGCCATGGGCAGGGATACCTTCCACTAGAGCAGGTTGCTCCAAGCCCTGTTCAAGCTGGCCTTGAACACTGCCAGGGATGGGGCAGCCACAGCTTCTCTGGGCAACCTGTGCCAGGCCTCACTGATCCCACAGGGTATGTGGTGGCTCAGGAAACACTCTCCAGTCCACAAGAGCAAGTGGTGTGGTGGGTGTTGGCAGGGCCTGCTTGGGGGGGTGATGGTAGAAGGGTGGCAGTGGGGGCCAGGCCGGGCTGCCTGCAGGTGGGCTGACTCTGGCCAGGACCTATCTGTGTGCAGGTTGCCCCCCAGGACCATGCTGAACGTGTTGCTTCTGTGCTGCGGGCTGCTGCAGGGGGTTGTCCTCAGTGCCAACCTGGGCTGTGGGCTGCCAGAGAAGGCGAGTGGAGGGCTGGAGGGCACAGACAGAACCCGCTCCTCCAGCCTGCTGCGGAGAGTCAAGGAGGTGTCTGTGGAGCCGGCGGGTGAGTCCTCTGGTGCCCTACTCTCCCAGTTCCCCCCCCTCCTCCACAATCTGCTTGCTGGCATGGCTGGGGCCCCGAAACTGAAGTGAGGACCTGCCATCCATGGCCAGGTGCTGCAGGGGAGCCCCATAAAGCAGCACATCTTTTTCTGTCACTGACTGGTGACAGCAGTTATATAGCCTCCACTATATTGCAGTGGCTCTCACCCCCTTGCTGTCAAGCCTTTGTATCTTGCAGGAGCTCTCCCTAGGCTGGGGCTCGAGCAGGTGACCCTGGAGGTCCAAGAAGCCAATGGTAACCTCATGCAGAGAGACAGCATCCTAGAACCACAGGTAACGCTCCTTGAGCTTTCTTACAGGTACCTCAAGAAGCAGGACAGCCTTCTCAGTGCCCCTGGGGCCAGCGTGGTGTTGCCTGGGACGGGCATATCTGTTCATTGCCTGCTGGAGAGCAGTTAGGGCTGCCCAGAGCTGCAAGGGGCTCCGGCATAGAAAGGAGGGTAGTCCAAACCTGTGCCCCTGCAGTCTGTTTAATTAACCTCATGTGCACATTCTGCAGAGCAGGAGGAAACCAGGCAGTGCCTGGCTCAGACCCTGGTGCTTCTGCTTGGTGCCACCTTCATTAAAGTTGAGGCTGCACTTCAAGTTAAATGTGTTCATAGAGGCCTTGAGACATGATGGATGAGGCATGAGAGCCCCCAGGGCTCAGTCGTGATTTCCAACAGACCCAGTCCAGAGCTGAGCATGACAGAACTGGGCTGCTGGCAGCAGCAGGTTTCAGCAACCACTCTTGTCTCTTTCCCACACAGTGGTCTAACACCAACTCTTTTCCTCCTCCCTCCACCAGGCATCCTCCACAGAAGTAGAAGGTGCCGGCCGTGAGGAGCGCTCCCCCCGCCGCTGTGTCCGCCTCCTGGAGTCGTGCCTGGGCCACCAGGTCCCTTGCTGTGACCCCTGTGCCACCTGCTACTGCCGCTTCTTCAATGCCTTCTGCTACTGCAGGAAAATCAGCACCAGCTTCCCCTGTGGCAAGAACTAGTGCTTGTGCTGTGGGACTGACTGCTCCTTGCCCATGTGTGGCACATCCTGCTTTGCAGGTCTAATAAACCACCTGTTAGCAAAAGCTATTGCTGAGTGGGAATGGTTCAATGTATCTGCTTGGGAGTCTCAGGGAAGAGGGGGAGCAGCAAAGCAAGAGTACCTCTGCCCAGGTGGGCATCATGTCCACACAGACAATGTCAAGCACCTCCATGTCAAGCAAAATGAGACTGACTTTCTTTCCAGAGCCCCTGCAGGGCTTTTCCTAGTCTTTCAGGAGGGGTGCCCCAGGAAGTGACATTCCGGCTGCACTGGGAGCTTCACTTGTGTTCTTGTCCTGTCAGTAGTGCTTGTGGTGCCACCAAAATCCAGGAAATAAACTTTGTAACCAGAATGACAAGTTAGAAAGCCAACATTACTGTGGTACCAGGTGCATAGGGGATTGTTCTGCCTATCATGCACACTGAGAAGAGACATTTTACAGCTTATATATCATTATTATATGCATAGAATCATGTAATTTGCATTCAAAGAGACCTTAAAGCTCATCCACTTCCAGCCCCCTGCCACAAGCAGGGAAACCTTCCACTAGACCAGGTTGCTCCAAGCCCTGCCCAACCTGGCCTTGAACACTGCCAGGGATGGGGCAGCCACAGCTTCTCTGGGCAACCTGTGCCAGGGCCTCACCACCCTCACAGGGAAGAACTTCTGCCTAAGAGCTCATCTCAGTCTCCCCTCTGTCAGGTTAAAGCCATTCCCCATTGTCCTGTCCCTAGAGGCCCTTGTCCAAAGCCCCCCTCCAGGTTTCCTGTAGCCCCTTTAAGCACTGGAGCTGCTCTAAGGTCTCCCATAACGAGCCTTGTCTTTCCAGCCTGAACAAGCCCAGCTCTCCCAGCCTGTCTCCAAGCAGAGGTTCTTTAGCCCTCGCAGCATCTTGGTGGACTCCTCTGGGTTTGTTCTGGCAGCTCCAGGTCCTTCTTGTGTTGACGACACCAGAAGTGCACACAGTGCTCCAAGCGGGGACTCACCAGAGCAGGGTGCCCACATCTCTCATTACTCACTGCGTATCGTTCTGCATCTCCCCCACGTGTCTCTGGGGGTCATCTGGGGAGAAATACCCCCACTCATTTTACCCTTTTATGTAAACCCAGTACTTAAGGACACTGAAATGCTTGTTTAGCCTTGTTAATTAACTATGTATTCTCATTTGGGTTAATTTACAACCCTAAGAGGCTCCTTATAGCCGTTTTTTTCTTGGAACCATTAACTATCAACGCAAGGAAGGCCCACACCGATTTAAAATAAAGCAGCTGGTCCTCTTGTTTCATGCCTGCTTTACCTGGAGAGTTTTGGAAGTTTTGCCCATTACTATGTCTATATACAGTGAAATACTTGTTTAATTCGGTCTCAGTGGTGGCTTATAACCTCCAGGAACAGGGCTTGAAAAGCAAGGCTGTGTTGGGGCCGTCAGCACTACCGACCCCGGAGCTCCCACCCCACGCCATTGCTCCCAAAACCCCCACCACCGCTTCTCGCCCTGCACTGCCTCAACGGAAGGACGCACGCACTCACGCACTCACGCACGCACGCACGCACGCACGCACGCACGCACGCACGCACGCACGCACGCACGCACGCACGCACGCACGCACGCACGCACGCACGCACGCACGCACGCACGCACGCACGCACGCACGCACGCACGCACGCACGCACGCACGCACGCACGCACGCACGCACGCACGCACGCACGCACGCACGCACGCACGCACGTCATGTAATCCGCCGCCATAGTCCTGCCGCCTCTTCGCCCGTCGCCATGTCGTCTTTCCCGGAGCTGTATTTTAACGTGGATAACGGCTACTTGGAAGGCTTGGTTCGCGGTTTTAAGGCGGGAGTGCTCCGGCAAGGCGACTACGTGAACTTGGTGCAGTGTGAGAGCCTGGAGGGTGAGTTGGGGGTGTGTCTGAGGTGGGTGGGGGACACCCTCCGCCTTCATACTGAGGAGAATGGCTGTCGGGCTGAGGGGAAAGCTTAACGGAGGGGTGGTGGAACCGTGGGGAGGCGGGGTGTTGTGTGGCAGTGAGGAAAAGAGTCCATATAGGCCTTTTTGAGTTTTTTTTTTCCCTCTTCACTCTGGCTGAGCAGGCATTTGGCGCCATAGAATCATAGAATGGTTTTGGTTTGATCATCTAGTTCCAACCCACCCTTCCGTGGGCATGATACCTCACGCTAGAGGTGTCCCCCCACCGCGGCTGCTTCCTCTGAGCTCAGCTGACTCAATTTTGTGGCCTTGCGATTGTAGCAGCTGATGAAAGCTGGCAGTTTAAGGAAGCTCAAGCTCCCAGTGCTTTCTTGAGGAGGCTGTCTAGCTGTGGTGTGTTTCCTGCGGTTGTTGGGAACCTGGTTAGTTTGTCAGGCTTTGCTGAGGAGTCTTGTTTTGGGCTTTCACTTCCTAAGTGGCAGGCAGAGCAGGAAGGCTTTTTAAGGCCAGAAGCAAGATTAATGGGGTATTATAACTTAATCCCTGATACCCGTGATCAGTTTAAGGAGATTGGATCCCTTAGGAAAGTACATGTTGTTACTGAAGGGTTGCTAGTGGAAAAACTCTAGTGCAGACCTTTGTAAATTCACTGGTGAATTACACTTTACCTGTAATTTTGAGTTCTCTTTCAAGGCTAAATCTGACTTCCAGCCATCGTTTTTTATTCTAGATCAGTGTGTATAAACGTAGAGAGCTGTGAAGGTTTTGTTTAGTGATGCTTTTCATCTGTTCAGTTTGTCTTAATTAGCCAGTGCTGATCTATTCCTCTGTATCAGTGACCTGCTTGAGAGTTTTCCCTCATGGGTGCCCAGAACCTGGGTCGCAAATCATGAAGATCAAAACCAGGTCTCTCTTGAAACAGAGAGAAGCATGTATCCAGAGATGTTGGTTGTTTTGGTCAATAGGGCTATAATTATTGGATCATTCTTTCTTCTGAAAATAGTGGTTAAGATCAGCCTGATCTTAACCATTGCTGAGTGACTGAAATTTATATTAACTCTCTAGAGGGATCCTTCACCAGCAGAATCCTGGATGCAAGTTACTTGGAGCTACTTGCTCAACTGTTAAATAACAGAATGGAAACAGAATGCTGTGGTGTGCCTCAGTCTCTACCTTAAAACATATCCAGGGTGGTTTTACTTAGGACAGAAGCCCCTTTTCAGGTAGACTTTTTTGCAGCTCTTTGCTTGCAGCAGTCTCTGTCATTCTTGCTATGGAGCTCAGGGTTTGGAAGAGAGTGGTGGGAGGCATTTCTGCTCTCCTGCTAGTCGCCAGTCTCAGCATGCCCTAAATTATCACTTTATCACCTTCCCTGCGGGTAACTTCTTCTGTGGAGTCTTTCTGTACCTTACAGCTTCTCCTTAAGTATATAATTTTATTTTCCCCCTCCTTTCCTTGCCTTCTGAATGAGATTGTGTAAATTTTGCTTTCACTTGGAGTCCTGTTTTCTCCATTTGGAGTGATCATTTCGAAGTTCCCATATCAGTCACAGAATCCTAGGTTGAAAGGGACCTCAAGGATCATCTGGTCCAACCTTTCTAGGCAAAGCATGAGCTGGACTGCATGTCTAAGCATCCTGTTCAGCCCAGTCTGAAGTGTTTAGTGTTGGGGAGTCCAAAATTCTCTGCAGAGGTTATTCCAATGGCTGGCTGTTCTCATTGGGAAAAGTTTTCCTTTTGTGTCCAGTCAGAATCTCTCCAGGAGTAACTTGTGCCATCCCCACTCATACATTTGTCTTGGTATTGTTACTGCCCTGTCCTGACAGCTCCCTGATGGTGGCTGCTGCTATGCTCCTTGTCACCCTTCATTCAGAGCCTGAATGCTGTTCTAAGTTCACTGCCAGTCTCATTCCTCTTCCACTTGGCTTTCTGTGCCCCTGGAGATACCAGAAGTGACAAAGTCCCTCTACAAGACACTCTACATTGTGCTCATATAGAAGGATTTTCCTTCAAAGCAACATTGCTGTTGATCACTTACTATGTCTGTGGCCAGACCATTTCTTTCTTCTGTCCCTTTAGTTCCCATTTTCCTATTTCAGTATCTGTTTTCTGTGCTTTGCAGACTTCTAACACTTTCTCTCCCAGATGCTTGTCTGCACTAAATCCAGGCAGTAGCTAGCTTATTACCAGCCAAAATAATTACTCTGGCATAAAATAAACTTTCTGCTATTCTTTTTTGTCTTCACTGCTCCTCTTGCCTGAGTCTGGCTCTGCAGTTAGTTCAGTTCTGGAGCAAATTATCACCTTGGTCCTGAAGAACCAAGGCTGTCTGGGGGCTGGCCCTGGGAATCTGGTATCCGTCTGGTTGCTGCTGCTAGGAGGTATTGCTTCCAGGTCTGAAATGCTGCTTCCTCTTGTGTACTTGTATCGTTCTGAAAGCAAAAAGGAATTGACTTCTCTGCTTCAGGACTTGGGCTTACAGCTTAGTGCTGCTGGAAGGAGGTAATGATTTTCTGTGTGATCCTCTGCTTATCTGATCACAGAGAAACCCAGTTCAAGCTCTGGCTTCTTAATGAGCTGGAAATAGAGCCAAACAGGTGGTCAGGCAGGCTCCTGAGCTGGCTACAGAAGGGGCAGGAAAACATAAGGAGGATTGAGGGGAGGGAGTAAGAGCTGTTTTGGCTTAAGTTCTCTGTTGAAACCCTCGCCAATAATATATTTAATCCCTTCTTTTAGCTCCAAATTTTGTGATTGTTTCTCTGCCAGAAATCCTTGTGTGCCACACACCTGTGCTGGATTTTAGAATCTGCCTGGCCCTCTCTGTGGCAGCCAATTCCTGCTTCTGACACAAGGTGTCAGTGAAGGACTGGGAGCTGCTTTCTTTTGCCTCGATGCTGTGAGCATGGATTTGTGCTTGAGTGGACTCTGTCTTGGGTAGCCAAACTTACGAGTCACTCATATTTCTGCTGTCAAACAGATGGTGAGCTGTCTCCACCTTCTAAAAGCTGTGGTGGCCTGTTAGAGAGCTGGTATCATCTCTGGAGATTAAAAAGCTGTTGATGCATTTGGACAGCAGTGCTGCTTTTAAGCAGCA